TGGGTTTTTTAAAAGGTTTTGCTTTTTGGGCCCCCCCGGGGGGACCCGGGGGGGGGGGGAAACCCCCCCCCAAAAGGGGGGGGCCCGTTTTTAAAAAAAACCCTTGGGGGAAAAACCGGGGGGGGGGGACCAAGGGCCCCGGGGCCCGCCCGGCCCTCCCCGGGCCCCCCCAGGGAAAAGAAAGAACCCCCGGGTTTTTTTCCCCCCCTAAAAAAAAAAGGAGAACCCCCCCCCCCCCCCCAAGAAACGTAAAGAGCTCCCAAATGTTGGTGGTGTCTCTAGTAGGTGTAGGAACGGTGCTCCGTCTCGAAAGGGACGCGTGGTCAATGGTCAAATGACTACGGCAAGCAACAAAGGAGTACGCCCCCCCCCCCCAAGCCTTGCTCTCCGCGCTCACTTGAGGGAAGGGACGCATCTCCCTTGCTGCCTTGTTCTTGAGGTTATCCTGAGATTTACCCCGACCCGCTCCCCCCTCCTCGCCCATCACCCCGGCGCACCAGTGCCGGAATATGCACTGGGAGAACCTCGACAAGCTCCTGGGCATCGTGGACCGCGAGTTCGGAGAGCAGGGGTTCTACCACGCCGGTCCAGGGGGCGAGATCCTCGGCCTCCAGGATGGGGTGGTGCGGACGAACTGCATGGACTGCCTCGACCGGACGAACGTCGTGCAGAGCCTGCTCGCACGCAGGAGCATGCTGGTGGGTTGGATTGTGCTGGGCTACAAGGTGTTGTTATTGTCTTCACATATATAAAAACAACTTTCCGACCTCTCGATCCAGTACCTCCCGCTATCGTTTACTGATGTAGGGTGGTACAACAAAAGGGCCTTGTGATGTGTGGAGTGGAGGGGGTTGCGTAGTTTTGTCCGGTGGAGAAGGGGGGGGGTATAGTAGGGAAGAGCGCGGCAGGTACACGGCTTGGGTGGTTTTGGGGACCGACCGTTTCGTGCGGGGTTGACATGACTGATAATAACTTTTTCTAGTGGCTGTGCTGCCGCGATGGGGGTGTCCCCAAGGCATGTAGTGAGTGTTGTTGTTGGTGCCCTGCTCGCGAGGTCTGTAGGCCAGAATTATCGCGTATGTGGGTCTTGGAGGCGTAATTTGTACCCATATGGCTCGAAATCGAGTCAAAGTGAAGAGTTTTGGCGTTTCGCGCTGTACAGGTGGCCAGGGTCGTGTTGTTGCCGCTTATTTATGGGTGCACTCACCGCTCTGCCCTGCCTGTTCGACCCAACTAGACAACAGCACTGTAGCGGCTACATCCTGCCTATAGAGAGAATCGGGACATGCCCAAAAACTCTCTTTCAAATCAGATCTTTCTCCTATTCACTCCGTATGTGTTTTCTCACAGGTGGGACAAGCCACTTTGTACTTTCTCTCTTATATCCATGCTTTTTGTGAAAGATTCCCCTCTTAACCGTCCCTGCTACTGTTGTACGGTACACGACACAGGTCCAGCTGAGCGCGGTCGGAGTGGATATCCCGGAGCCGGAGGGGGGGGACAGCACGGCCTTGGCCCTTACCCTAGACATGCTGGAGATGCCGGCGGAAGAGCTGGAGAGGCGTTTTCGAGACGTTTGGGGTAACAACGCCGACGAGATCAGGTGGGTTACGAAGACGAACCCTTGTTAGATGGAGAGCACCTGAATTCAACATGTGTAAGGTCAACGTGCGGAATCGTGCACCGGCGGATTGTGTTCGCACACACTGCTGTGCGAAGAGCGTAAGCCCGCCACTCTTCGGTCGGTACCATGGTACGTGCTAAGAGACCCTTTTGTTATTTCACGAACATCTTGGGGAAGAGGAACAGGCGGAGACGAGAGTGTTGCCAATGGTTTCCTAGAGACTGAAATTGTTGAGATTTTTGGTTTTCTGGGTTCTCTGCTGTTGCTGCTGCTGCTACTGCTGCTGCTGCTGCTGATGTGGGGGAGACACCATACTCCTGACGAGGATTGTCGTCTAACAAACCTATGAACATGAGCTGATGTGGTCCATTCAACAACAACAAGCGCTTCTCTGTTTTCTTTGTCCTCAAAGCGCTCTCTCTACCGGCGTTGAGGCTAGTCCTGCCCCCCCCCCCCCTATCCACCCGCTCCGCCGCCGGCCCCCCCGTCGACCCCAAAACGACAGCATGCTCTACGCAGGCACGCCGGCTCTGAAAGGCGACTTCACCCGGACGGGACAGCGCACGAAAATGGGACTGCTCCAAGACGGGACGAACTCGGCCATCCGCTACGTCGTCAACAATTTCCAGGACCACCGGTAACTAAAACAAATCAGAGCTGAAAGTATGCTGTGTCTTCTTGTTTTCGTTCTTAATTCTTAAATTTTCTTTTGTTTTCATCCTGTTTCTTGATGAAATGGTGTTGTTCTCCCTTATTTGCAACTCCTTTTTTTTTTGTGGCCCATCGGGAGGTGGGGAGATGTCGCAGTGTGTCGTTGTTGTAAATTAATGTAATTTGTTTTGTGGCTGCGGTGTTTGCAAGATGATGGTGAGTGTCCGCCCGCATTGTTGGTGCGGTCTGGCATTTTGGTCGTTTCGTTTCCGCTGATACCCCTTCTGTCCTCCTTGATCGTCGCCGCCTCCCTTCCTTGTTTGTGCCGACCACGCCAAGGCGGCAAGAGGCAGTCGATCTCCTCCTCGGGTTCCACCGCCCCGTCGTCGACCAGGACGGCAACATCCTGGGCGAGTTCATCCAAGATCCCCTCGACCTCGACCTCTGGGCGACACGTCTCCCGCAGCCGCAGCAGGACGACGTTAAGAAGGGGCAGTCGGCGGCGTTGGCGGCAGCTACGGAGAAGCGAGGAGGAGGAGGAGGAGGAGGAGGAGGAGGAGGGGGCACACAAATGGGACACGGGCCCTCTTTTTGTACCACCGTTCCCTCGACTGTTGGAACACCCTCGAAGGGCGGGTATTGGGCAACTGCAGCGGCCGCAGCACGAGGAGGGGGAGGAGGAGGAGGAGGAACGTCCGTGTCGCCGCTGTTGTCGTTACCCAGAGGTGCCTTTAGCGTTGGGTGCGACAAAGCCGCAGGGGTACTCGCTCGAGCTGAAGCGGTTAACCTCGGCGTCAATGACAACGACAACAGTGACATCACCAGCGGGAGAAGTAGGAATCCCACCAAGGAGGAGGAAACGGTAATTCTTGCGGCGAGGTTGACGAGGGATAGAAAAACACAACGCAGTAGTGGATCCACCTCGCACCTGGGTCGAAAAAGGAAGATAGGCGATGCTGAGGTTGCGACGGGGGTATGGTCGAGTATCGCTGGGCGTGCGGAAGGCGCTGGAGATGGGCGAGACGGGGGCTTCGGGACGACTGCTGCTGTCTCGGCCAGAAGAAAAGGTCACCGTGGTTCGGGGGATGGCTGAGAAGATCGAAGAAGCATTCCGAAATTTTGCTTAGGGTAGTAATGCCTGGCTGGATCCGAGCACAGAGATCGACTCCCTCGGCCGATAGTCCTCTCTGCGCTTGCCATCGTTGTTTGCTGGCGAAAGGATTGGCTTCATGAACAAGGAGGAAGTATCGGGGTTTACTTGAGTGATGTGCATTTTGCCGTGGTTCTTGTGCTCGCCATCGAGTATTCTTAAGTACACGACATCGTGGCAGTCTTTCGTACTGTAGATGTGTGCATGAATGTTATGACCGAACAGATGAGTCCATACCACGCACCCGGAAATTTAGAGCTGCTGGCGGGTCTCGCCGGAGAGAAGTCATTTTCATCAGTGAATTCGGGTGGTGCGTGTACACATTTTTGCAAAAGAGAGGACAGCAGTACCGTGGGGGAGTGAGTACACGCGATGATTCGCAAAAAAGTTTGTGCTGGCTTCATTAATTGCCGCAGCAATACGTATGTCCTTGGCTGTTGTCTCTGGGGATATAAGAAAGGATCGTTTGGGAAAATAGGAGTATTATATTCTGCAAGAACTTTCAATGGTCCACGCTGCTATGTGGTATGATGTAATGACCTGCCACGCATGGTAAGGGCATCACTCCCGGTGAAGCTCTGTGTATCCCTGTAGTGATTTTAGGGGAAAAGTCGTTCGGAGAAACGGGTTATCGCAACCGGGATTGACTCCCGCAGCTCGTTGTCTGGCAAGGGGATGGTGGTTTTACAGTACTTGAGTTCCAAGGCATCTTCTTCCACCAAAACCACGCTATTGCTAGTGCTCTCCTACAGAGATCGGGATTCCGCTGGCAGCTCTCTGAATGCCTGTGTAGAGAGCGCTCCTCCCCTCCGCCGCCTCGTATATAGTGTGGTTCATCATCTACATATGAGGTCGATCATCAGAGACAAGGTCGATCGAGCCTTGCGCATCGAAATATATCGAATCACCAGGTGCAGCGCCCGGATGGATCTTGTGCGCTCGTCTGTAAAGCAGTGTACTACTTGTATGGAAAACACATACATACAAACACAGAAAAAAATCCGTTCGAGATATAACCTCAGTCGAAGGGGATGTGATGAAGTCTAAGTCTTTGCAGTCAGTGGAGGGTGGAGGATCGAGGATTGAGGATTGTGGATGCGGTGCGCGAGAATATCCACCGTTTCGGGGGAGCACCGGCGAATCATTTTCGTATCTCGCCGCTTTCGCTGCCGTCAGCACGGTGGACTATGCACATGGCATGTGTAGTAATACACCTCCAGATCTCCAGTGAACCTACAAGCACTGCTATCACGACTGCATACGGCTCCAGCACACGGCCTTTTGCAGCCGGGGGTACAGTAATAGTGTGGGCCTCAATCTAGCAAGGAACAGATAGAGCGTACAGAACCGGAGACTGCAGCAATATTACGGAGAGATTGCGCAAGCAGTACGTGGGAGATCACGGTCAGAACTTCAAGTTCTCCTGTCCTGCTGCGAGAGCTCGCTTGGGAACAAGAGTCGATAGCATCATGGGGAACAAGGAATCGTCGCATTCTTCCACGTTCTCAAGGGGCCAGGGTGCCACATCAGACTTCCGGGATGCCTTGACGAGCTTGCCAGGCAGCGCTCCCAAGAACAAGACCGGGAGGTACGTGTACATCTGGCGGCAAACGCACGCCCCTACAGCTCGCCCTGCTGCTGATGCTGTCGTTCCGGGCGTGAAGTAGGTTGCGTAGTACCTTACTGCAGACCTTTGGTAGGACTCGGGGGCCAGCGCAAGCGTACCATGTTGCAGAACCAGAGAAGTTCATCGTCCGGTTAGCTGAGAAATATGGTTCTACATTTTTTCATGTAGACATGTAGACCGTACAACAGTCGATGGCGAGCCCCCTCCTCCCCATCGCCCCCCCTCAAGGAAGCTTATCAGCAGCAGTGGGGCACCTCCCGGCGTTTTGGTCGCTCCAGCAAGACTTTCGAGGGAGGTTCTTGACGTTCCGATTCTGCAGCCTCTACCCTCACCTCAATCAACTAACGTGCCAGCACTGAGGCCGTCACCAAGCTCTTCTTTTCCCATCATCTCCCCCCTTCTCTCGTCACGCGTATGTATCCATACTACAGCAGTACTTCAGTATGAAAGCTCGGCGCTCCTCTGGCGTTTCCCTCATGACTATACACCAGTTCTATCACCATACGGCTCCATCGACGACCCCCCCCGAATCGATGCCAACGTTTTGCGATCCGATCATGCAGGAAAGTGACGGCCCAAAAGATGAAGACGGCGGGAGCCACGGGCGTGCTGGCACTGCAAGAGCATGGCCTTAAGGAAATACCAGAGGGGCTGTTCACGCTGGTCAAGCTCAGGGTGAGAGAGACAGACGGGAAAGTGCGAGCAGAATGCCAGAAGAACGGCTGGAGAATATGGCTGGGTATTCCCCTCTCTTGCTTAGCACGGATCAACTTTGCGCGAACTTTGTGTGTTTCCTCTGCGGCGCTATGATAGAATATTTCAGTTTCATTGGCTGGCGCGTCCAACATACACCGAATCGGGTAGAGACTGACGCCCAGAATGCGTGAGACGAAAACAAACACACACATACATGTTCACTCCCACCCCACCTCTCTTTCGCGCGTGACCTCCTCCTCGAAGCGGGTTGGGTAAATAACTTCGCTGCCTGTCGGTGCTTGTTTTGTGTGTGTGGGGGGGGGGCATTGCGCGTGGTTGTTACAGACGTTGAACATGGCGTCCAACTCCCTCAAGCTCCTACCTGCGGCGGTGAGCACCCTCACCAAGCTCAAGATCTTGCGACTCGATTCCAACAAGCTCGAGGTGCGTACCTCTTCCCGCTGACTGTTGGCGGCGTCTGCCCGTAGGAGACGGCCTTTTCCGTGGGTGGAGGACGAAAGCAACAAACCGTGTTCCTTGTGTCGGGAATGTTTGCGCGTTTTACTCGTCTCTATGGTGTGTTTCTGTGGTTGGCAGGGACCCCTTGAACGACAGACAAAACCGCAGCGCGCTGTATCTACCGCTTGCCAAACGGAAACGAACGACCGGGTTCCCGTCCCTCCCCCGCCCCGTCTGCGATGGGATGCTTGTAAAACGACCCAACCACTGAGATATTTAGTTCTTGAAGCACCTCGGACAAAACTCCTCTTTGAAGTAGCTGGAAGAGCAGATAGTGAAAAATGTGACGTCGCTTGTAGCAGGGCCAACAAAAGGAGCTGCGTACATACCTCCATGCGCATCTCCTCATTCACTCCCACCACCCCACGCCGTCTTGGCCAATATTTTCGTAGCCAATGGTTCAAGGGCCTAAAGTAACAAACAAATGAGTATGCCGCCTGCCCCCCCTCCCCCCCTTTATTCTCCCCATCACAGGCTATCCCAGACCTCAGCGCGCTTTCTTCACTGACGGACGTCTCCGCGGGATCAAACCAGCTCGCCGGGGCAGGAGCTTTGGGGGCGCTGCCGGCGTGCCTGAAGAAGCTTGTGCTGCGGGATAACCGCCTGGGGGAGGTGCCAGCAGCCGTGCTGGACGGGCTTCCGGCACTTCAGGTCAACACCCGAAAGCAACAGTAGTGGATGCCTTGATCAATCGGGGTTCGGGGGCGGGGAACCTTTGGGGTTGACGTGCTGGGCGAGACGCACCCTGCGGCACTTTCGAAAAATTCTTCGGTGTTTCGAGGAGAAGGCACCAAGCGATGCCCCACTGCTATGAAGCCCTTCAAATCACAGTTAGTCGGCACACATTGCGGAGAAGCGACGAGGGGCCTGAATGTAACGAAGGTTTTGGCAGGGGGTTCACTACGTGGGTCTTCCCCAAGAATGAAGCTTCCTACATCACGGGTGGTCCCTGTAAATGTTAACAGCGTGCTGATCTGTATCGGCGGAGTCGGCCATCAATGAGAAGGTTCTGAAACGCTACATAGGCTTCGCTAGATTGCTTGACGTTTCCTGGAGTGCGTGCTGGGGAGTTGGGGGTTGGAGCATCGAGTTCACGCTGGCATGACGTTCTCTGCGCCAGCAACGAACCTACCATTATTTTTTTAGCAAAATCAACCGTTGGTTGAACAGTCAACATTAGCAACACGACCCGATTGTTTTATTTCGAGCTCGCTTGGGGCGGTGGTTAACAATCAACATCAGCAACTACCCCCGATTCATTTTCAGAGCGAGAGGCGTTGTGATTTTATCCTATTTCTCAAGATCCTAAACCTGTGCGTGACCCGTGGCCGAACCAGGTGCTGGACCTATCAGCCAATGGGATCGAAGGTCTCCCGCCCTTCGGAGCCACGCTTCCGGCCCTGGAGGAGCTCATTCTTGACGAGAACTCATTGCGGGCGTTGGGAGACGAGCTGGTGGGGCTGTCAAAGCTGAAGAAGCTCTCGGTTAGATCGAACCGCATCGCGGCCGTGGACCCGTTCAGCGGGCAACAGGTGTGTGTGTGTGCGTTGTGTGTTTTTGTTTTCGTCCTATTTGTTATGGCGACAGTCCCCCCGTGAAGCGTGCCATGAGACGTGTACTGCACTCTTCAGTGTATGTAGGGTACTACACTTTTTCAGTGTATTTTTTCGTAACTAGGGTCGCACAGGAGGGGGTAAACACCAGGGTAAAAGAAGAAAATAGCGCCATAAAGAAAGGGTACTGCTGCACTCCCATGTTGTGATGTATTTTCTGGTAACCGTGTAAATCGATAGGCTGATGTCGCAGGGTGTACGGGGCGAGCAGCGCACAGGAGGTATTTTCGTGTACTGGCATTGATCGCGTTTCTTGAATTTTCGCTTCAAACCCTGTCGAGTTCCCCGTTTGTCAGATTACGGCCCTTGTCGCCGATCACGCACACGCACGCGCATGACGCTACATCCTTCTTCCACGGCTGCTATTTTCGATCATGGCAATGCCCCGAGGACTGTTGGTCACCTACACTGTAGTAGTCCAACGCAAAACCGTTACAATACTCATGTTATTGCACGACGCCCCATGGTTGATTTCGTTGAGAAGCACGAACAGTTACTAGACGGATTAAGGCATTGTTAGCGTTTGTTGAGAAGCGCGATGACCACTGCTGTACTATCAGTCAGCTTCACCGGCAGTCCGTTGGTCATCAAGCTTGTCAACAGCCTCCACGAGCGAGGTTGCTGAGTCGCGCGCATCCTCGTCCCTCCCGGAATCCAGGCGTGTCGAACCTCTTCTCTTGGCCGTTAGTCTCCCGAGGGTGCGCGCCTTGCGGAAGCACCGCGTTTCCCTCGCTGAACCCACGTACCCCGGCCTTCCTAGGCAATCTAAAAAATATCATATCGCCATAGCATACGATGAACGAAGCCCCTGCGCGTGAAGCTGCTCGTGCAATGTCAATCAACACGCCAAAAACGTCATGCTTGCTGCACTCTCTTTCTTTTCTTTTTTCTTGGGCACGACCGCCCCTGCCGCACCCCGGCGTCGCAGTCCATATCTCGAGGTCTGTTCGCCGACTCTGCCGTGGAGTCCCTGGAGCTCGCGGGCAACGCCCTCGACAAGACGGACCTGATGCGAATGGAAGGGGTGGACGACTTCCTGGCCCGCAGAGAGAAGAACAAGAACAAGAACTTGCAGGGGGGAGGGATGCTGACACTTTCCGTCTGCGGCCTGGACTAGCGGCGCTTCGTTTTTCATTGTTTGGCCTGCGTGGCATCCCCTACCGCCGCCATGACCTGCGGCGGCGAAAAAACATTAGTTGCTCTGGTCGGAGGTTTTGTCTGATTTCTGTTCAAGGCTATTGTTGCGCGTTTTATTGATGAAGGGAAATGTTGGCGAAGGGCAAGTTTGGCGCGGCCAAAGGCGCGCTTGTTTTGGTATCCCCATGCCTTTGCTGTCTCGGCACAGGCACGTTGTCCTTACATTTTATAGTAAGCTACTTTGAATTTAGCGTTTGAAAGTGTGGTGTATTGAAGTGTATTTTTATTCGGGTTGTGTTTCTTTGGAGACCCTGTAGCACGCTTGGATTCACTACTTCAGTGCTGCACATATATGACGGCATAAAAGGGTACCACCCCTCTCGTAAGAACTCAGGCTGCAGGTCAGGCCACGTTTGTACAGGGTAGGCTGAAGCACCGGCGGCGTGCTTGTCCATACCGGTAGTGTAGCCTTGGTGATGGTGTCGACAACACTGTCACCTTGTTTATTGCTATTTTTTCCACCGAGCGAAAGGAAATAAACGTATTTGTACAATTCGAGCATCTGTCCGGCATGTTGCGTCGGGGTGCGCTGCATCCAGACATCGTTCTTTCCGCGGGTGACTTGAAAACTCTGGTGTTTTGTCCAGCCATGCACGACATAACGGTTGTGCTGTAAAATCCGTCCCGGAAGTATGCTGCCGTTGCTGTCTGTACGAATCGACTCAATCTTTTTAGAAAAAACGCACGTACCCCGCGAAAGATTGGAGTATTCCCCATCCACTCGATGCTTGGTCTTGGTTTGAGTTATCGCTGAGCCCAACATTCACAGGGGTGGAATGGAAGGGCCTCGCCACACGCGGTCTGTTCAACCGTCCCGAGGGGGGTGATGCAGGGAACTGCATGCAGCGGATTTCGAAGACAAAAATGCTGACGTTACGCTACGTTATCATACGTCTACAGAAGGCACCGCCACATAACAACTAATTTGTCCCCGAGGCTCGCTTCTCACTGACTTTGTAGGGTAATCAACCCAACAGTGCATCTACTTCGTTAGGTCTGAGAACGGGATGTTTCCCTTCCCACATTTTCATATCATGAAGCTGTCAAACTTCTCGTTCATCTTGAGCCGGAATTTCGTAACCCCCAGGCTCTAAAACTAGCGGAGACGCGTTCTGTAGCATGCCCGAAACGGAGATTGATTAGGCCACGTACTCACATTCCGTCAGTCGCGTTGGGTTGACCCGGCAATGGACGTCAGGGTGGGTGTCTGTCGCATTGGAATATCGAAGCTCTGATCTTCGAAGGCCTCGGGCCACCTTGTTCCACGCTGATTTCGATCATTTGTGCCCTCGGCCGCCCCTTGCATCCACATCATCGAGACAGAGCAAAACCCACAGTACCACCACAACTCTACTCCATGCGCGCGTGACACAAGACGCCTCACTGAAGTGTCTCCTCGTGTATGTCTATGAAACCAAGTAATGGGGGTGATGACTGCCTAGGGGTCTCTTCGTGGCCACTCTTCGCCATGCCAAGTTGGGGTGCTGTCGAATCACGTCAGAGATGGTGGCGCCCGCGATGTGAGAAACCCTTCTTTCTCCCTGGGAACGGTCGATAACAAGACAGCAGTTCATTGGACATGATGATCCTGGCGATAGTGTCGGCGTGCGGTATGCAGCTGCCAAAACGAGTACGGATGGTGCTCTCAGTTCGTACGTTGTATTTGTGGCGCCAAGCTGTGTATGTACGATTACCTGCTTGCTGGTGCATGAGGTAAGCAAGGTTGCGCAAGCGAGTTACGGCTGGTGCTCTCAATCCAAACATCATGTGGTGGTGACATGCTGTGTACGCTTGCCTGCTCGCTGTCGGTAATGGGCAGCAAGTAGCGATTCCAGAGAGTCGACCCGATCGTCGACATCGTCCACACGAGCTTGGGTGTCTCGTTTTTCCGCTTGGTGTTCAGCGGGGATGAGAGTTCCCTGATCCCTAGCACCAGCTGAGGCAGAACAGACGCGACGAGAGGGAGCAAGAAAAACAGAGGCATTTCTCAAGAAACACGAACATTCGACTTTGTGCGCCAAAGGAACAGCGAAATACGATCATGTGGACATGTCTTTTCGACGGGCTCAAACCCAAGGGCGAGGCGCGACGACGTGTTGAACCACAATTTACGACACCCGTCTTCCTCGCAACCGGTCCAATTGCACAGGATCCTTTTGGGGCCGCCCTCCTTGTTCGATCACCTTTCCCACAACCTAGAACGATCGACGAACTCGTTTAGCCTTTTAGAGAAGCTTCAAACAGAAAATAACAGATTTGGTCGACAAAGGCCAAGCTCAACGCCATCCTTCGGGTCAACAAGAAAAAATCGAGCTGGGTTCGCACGGAAAGCCGTCTTTGCTGCGACCACTCATGCATCTTGTCATGTACAGACGCATGTGGGTGGCTTTTTGTCGACAGAGGGAGAAGGAGTAGCGCAAAGAACCTGCTGCAGTTGTGCATTGTTTATCAGTACGTCTGTACGCTCCAATAGCACGACGAGTTTCTTTCGATGTGTGGTCCACGTGGGTCTGCCATGGACTCCCAACACAGAGGCAGAGTGGATGAGGTTGTTTTCGCCATGTGCTACTGTACCACCAAGAACAAAAGAAGAGGGGGCTCGGGTTTGTCCACAAAAAAACTCATGAAAAGATGGGGAGGAAGACCCGCCCATGTTTGTAGTGCCATCCGAAGGTTTTCCGGATGTGCAGCACCCAAGAGGGAAAACTGGAAACGAAATCATCCGGTGGAACCAAACGAATCGCTTGCAGAAACACAGCACAAATGTACAGGTATCCGTGCAGGTATGCTCACGACCCAGGGTCTCGAGACTACAAGCTCTTCTTCCCAGGTTAATGGTGTGCCTTACGCATTTCCCTCCCGGCAATCCTCAAGACAATGCACTTGCTCGTCACAATTAACCCGCAACGATCAGGATCGGATCGAGGCTGCAGGGGCCACGTGCCTCGCACATCCCAACGGTCAAGCATCAAAGCAGGTCCGGGGTGTACAACGTAGTATTCACCACTCAATCGTGTGTGTCAGCGTGTTGGGTCGGGCTCTGCTGGGCAAGCCCCGGCAAAAAACAACGCACGGGCTACGTTGAAGTGGCAATCAGCACTACTTGCCACCCATACCAAAGATTTTCCGCAGTCTCTGTCGACGTCCAGCTCTTACGTTGTTGCTCGTCTTCACAAAAAAACACTTCTGGCCTCTTCCAAGTTCCTCCAAAATCTGTTCAGATAATCCACGGAACGAGTAGTGTGGAGGACCACACGATACAACGATAGAACACACAAAAATAGCAACGTCCCGCGAGGAAATGCGGACAATCACGGACAGCACAAGGCGCAACTTGAATCATTGCAGGAGCATAGGAAACCAGACAAGGTCTCGCATACGCCAAGCCGTTGACATCACACAACACTCACACACACAACGGTCACACGGCTGACACTTGCAACGATCGAAAACTCTCAAGTGAAACACAAGTGGAAACACAAAAATCATGCTGCAGTAGGACAACAATTGTGCAGCACGCGGCAAGGTGCGGACTTGGCGACCCCCTGCAGTCTAGACTCAAACCGATGGACACCAGAAAGAAGAGCAAGAAAAAAAGCAACAAGACGAAAACAAGTCGGGCTTCATCATCCAGGAACTTGAGCTCCACAAACGCGGAGGAGTGCTATCCGCGAGGTTCCACGAGCGCTTGTCGTTCCCTCACATGGGGTGCGGGAGCTGCCGAGGAAGGGCGGGGGGCGAAGAAGAATAGAATCAGAACGGCAACAGAGGAGTTAAACTTGGGCAGAGACAAATAACACAAATCAGTGGGTGTACGAAAAGGTAACGCGATAAACGAGAGCTTTACCCTAGCAAAGCGCCAGATACGGCGGGCGAGGTAGAGCTCTCGTTGCCTGCGGTCCGGCTGACCCAACGGCACAAGAGCATAAAAAAAACACAAATCGGGTCAAACAGGACGCCAAAATCGAAGCAAATAACCTCCGGCAGGCCTTCATCGACGGTGGGCCACATCGTATTCAAGCGTGCGTTTGCAGAACCAAAATCTACGGAGATAGACGTGTAGATGGCACGTACTGCACGACAATGAAGGCCATTCTGCTGGGTATCGTCCTACCCTGGCAGCCTAACAGTCAGATGAAAGAGCGCGATGCTGGGGTGCTCTCGAAATGCACGATGTTTTGTCTCACTCAATGCAGGATCCGCGTGACGAACGCCGCACACGCATCGAGCCTCCGCAAGAGTCTCGGCAACGTTAGCAAGAGTTTCTAAAAAGAGTAAAACCGGTTTCATAAAAAACGTCAGTCAACGCTGGGCCGGAGAGCACAGCAGTAGAAGCCAACGAAAAGACGGAGCAAAGTTTACCGCTCAACGCCGTGTGTCCGGCACGCGATCGAAGAGAGCCGACGAAAGACTCGACTACAAAAGCGGGGAACAGCAACAGCAATCTAGTGTTCGTTCCCACGGTGACAAGAGTGATGTGGTGATGCATTGTGTCGACCACGACACAAACATCCCCTCGGCGGGGAACATTACGGTCGCTCTCACCTCTCTTTCCGCTGTTTCGTTGCTCCCGACATAGGAACCCTGCATCTCTCACGCCCCGTTACCCGCCTTGCCGCCTCCATATTCACGCGATGCATACACATGACGGCTACATATGTAGACCCTCCCCCCCCGCCCCCTTCACGCCCCAGATGACGTCATGTAAATCCTCGTCACTCAGCGATAATGTAACCTCTCGTGGCCGCCGGCGAGCCTCCAACACGCAGTTGTCCTTCTTGTTCCGTCTGCTGCAGACCCGCATCCCTCTCGCTCCTACTCGATCGCTTGCCAGAACATCTCCCACATCCAAAACAAAAACGACTACAGTAATAGACAGCAACACGCGAGTACAGTACAGTACATAGTACACCACGATCTATGAAACATTTATCCGCGCAACCCAAACGTCCAACGCTAAAGTCTGCTATACAGGCACGCTTTCGCGCGCTGCGAGAAACGGAAAAGACTCCTCGGCAACACACCTCAGTCATCTCTAGTATCTCTCGCACCAACAATGCATACAATCTCTCCAAGCAATAAGCGGCGCAATCACGCACTGCCTGCAGCGAGGCCCAACAGCAACACGTCATGCCACCAGACCAACCAGCAACACCAGGCTCATTCGATTCGGACATGTCCCAGCAAGCTTGTCTGCTTCCCCCCGCTTTGGCGCTATGTCAAGCCACTACTTACGCGCACCGCAGGAAGCTCCCGGGGCGCTACGCAATGCCCTCTTATCCATGATGCCGAAACCAATCACTCCGGAATGCGACCGCTTCCAGTGCGGAACAACGCCGTGGGTCTCGACTTCATCACAACCAACGGGGCTATTACCCCAGCCGACAGGATGAGCAGGGCGAAGAAGTAGGGCCACGAGAAGTAGCGGATATCCAACGCCGAAAGCATCGCGACGGCGGCAGTGCAGCAGCAGTGCTTGAGTGTGTGACACTGGGGACAACTTGGGACAACGGGGAGAGGGGGGAGGAACCAATTTTCCCCCCGCTTTCGGTTTTTGTAAAAGCAGGATGCTCTGCCAGCTACAGCAGTAGTTCAGCCGTCTCGCTGTCTCTATCCAGTCTCAATCACGCGACACGCCTGCCTGGTAGGCACCGTGTGTGTAGCATACACTGCTCTGGCGAAACCGCTGCACCCTCTCCATTCCGAGCTTCACTTTGGGCAAGCTGGTCAACATATTGCACTGCTGTTGTCCTGTTTTGCAGCAGGCATATTGTATGACGCGTCCTAAACGCGGGAAGACTCCACCGCGCCAACTACATCTTTAGCTTGGCACACTTAGCACGCGTTGCAGTGAGCGAAGACCAAGGGAGGATGGATGACTGGGAGGGGAGTATGGAGGAACAGATTGGCTGGTTCGGTGGCATAGGGCAACATCACCAGCAAGATCACCAGCAGCAGCAGCAGCAGCAGCAACAGCGACAGATGACACCTGAACCAGCAATGCCTGCGACGGGCAACAACCACAACAGCAACGCCGCCGCCGTCGCCGCCGCACCAACAACAGCCGTCGACACCGGCTCCGCCCGCGTCGACATCAACAACAACGCCGACAGCCCACTACTACCACCACCACCGCCTCCGGCGCCCTTGCCCACCCCGGCAACCCACGCGTATCTCGGAGAGGCCACCACTGGCTCCTCCTCCCTGTCGAGGAAAGATCTCGAGGAGGGCTCGACCGTCGAGATCCCGATACTAGCTCTACCGGGAGTGGTGCTGTTTCCCGGCGAGTCTCTCCCGCTGAGGTTGCACAACCCGGCCTACGCGGACCTGGTGGAGTCTTTCCTCGGTGGCGGAGCGGGCGCGGGTGGCGGTGGTGGTGGTGGTGGCAGTGGGGGGCAGCAGGCTGCGAGGCATCTCGGTGTGGTTAACAGGCTCGATTCGAGAAGAGGCGGGTGAGTTGACTCGTTCCTTCTACTTCAATTTAGGCTACAGCAGCAGTACTGCTGTTACTGCAAAGTGACTGCTGTGGTGGCGCACAAGTGCTAGCTAGCAATGGGAGAATTTGCTGCAGCGTCGAAATTGTCTCGGAGTTTTGTCGCGCCCCGCAGATTTTCCCGTCTGTCCAACTGACAACGACACCTTATGTAGCATCCTATTATTGCGTCCTGCGTTCGCTCATGTATGTGTCATCGGCATCGGTTGCAAATTGTACCGCGGTCCGGCTGGAGCACCGCTTCTCCTTATGTATGGCAGTCGGTTGTGATTGTACACTGCGCCATCACCACGCAAGCACGAACGCACGCCTGCCTTCCCGTTGCGGTGATTTCCGTGTCGTATCTTTCTTACGTTTCCCCACATTCACGCACAATCCACGCAAAGACTTCCACACATCCTCTTCGACTTTTGTGGTTATTTTTCGAAAGGGCATTCTCTCTTTGATTGCACGTATATTTTCTAATACAACACTTTTGACACAACTCAAACAGGCCGCACGTAGGAGCGTCGCCGGTTGGAACGACCGCCGAGGTACGGTCGGGCCATGGCGGTTCCGCCGAGGACGCCGACGGTGGAGGTGAAGGCGGAGACGGCGGGGGCTTGGCGATGATGGCCAGGGGGCGGCATCGCTTCCGGCTGGTGGAGGACCTGGGCTGGAGGTAGCTTTCAAGACTTGACGCTGACAGACGTGTGTGTAGCAGTCGTTTTGTCACGTTACCCGAAGCCATCCAGCGAAAAGGTGCCGGGTGGCCTCCAAACCAGCCCGATGACAGTGCTTGTTTTCAGTGGCGTGTGTGTTACAGTACAGTTTTAGCCGGGTGTCGAACAAACACCGGTGCTAAATGTCCTAGGTGATGAACCGAGTAAGAACCCTTGTCGAACGAGCTACACAGATTATTCCTTTCATAGTGGCGGCGACAAGAGAGAGAACTTGAGAGCAAGATAGGCCACATGTTTCTGCACAGCCCGGTCTCTCGCAGGAAGAAACCTCAACCTTCACAGCTTTAGTGCCCTTGCCCTGTTGTCCGAAAACCCACCTTCCCATGATTGGGACAGAATTCGCGTGCCCCCCACGCCCCCCCACTCGTTTCGTTGAATCCCCACTCGTTTCGTTTAATCGCACACTCACATCACGTTCGGCCACATCCCCGCGGCGGAAATTTCCCTTTTTTTTTCAAAAACAAACAACAACAACACCAACGCGACAACAAATCGCTTGAAGGCGGGGCGTGCTCTACTGGAAGGTGGTCATCTGCCCGGACCATTGCCCCGGAACGTTCCGGCCCCCGGTCCCCCGCGCGTTCCGCGAGTTCCCCGGCACCGATCGCCGAGGCCGCCGACGCCGCCGCGACGGCGGAAACCACTGGCCGATGGCGGTCCCGCGCTTTGCCGTCGTCGCCAACTCTCCGGCAGTCCTTGCGGCGCGGGCGGCGTCCCTCCTGCGCGAGCAGAGGGAGCCTCTTCCGCACGGCGCTCCTTCGGGGGCACCGCAGGTTGAGGAGGAGGGGGCAAGGAACGGGGGCGAGGGGGTTAGTGGGAACGTAGGAGGAGGAGGCGACGGGGGTGTCGACGTTTCTTCTGCAGCAAGAGACGAAGGAGGGGTATCACAGGGGGGTGGGGGTAGTGGTGGTGGTGGTGGTGGTGGTGGCGATAGTAGCGAGGACGAGGAGGAGGGGATGCCGCGGCGGAGAGGGAAGCTAGACCCGACGCTGTTTTCCTTCTGGCTGGCCGCCAACCTCCCTCTGGACGACGACGCGAGGCAAGAGCTGCTCATGCTGGATTCGGTCGTCATGCGGCTCAGGTGCGGAGCCCCCCCCCCGGCGCTGACTCGGGCAAAGAAGTAGAAGGCTTTTGCTCGCCGTAGATGCAACTAGGAGCAGACAAAGGCGACGGGGTTTGATGGGGGCTATGAGCGGTTGAACGCTCGGCTTCCGACGAATAGTAGAGTTGTTTTTGGGCGTGCTGTAAGTGGAAAGTGCAGCAGACCACGGGGGAAGTGTGGAACTGTTCCGTGTTGTGGCCGCACACCCTGCTTGAGGGTAGCGGCCGAACAAGTTGCTTTTGTTGCTACGGCTCTGCGGTGGTTGGTGTTGGTGTTGCTGCTGATGGCGATGATGTTGCTGCTGTTGTCGTTGTGTTCCTTGATGAAGTCGTTTGTTGCTGCCAAACCCGTTGCTGTTGTTGGTAGGGTTATTATGGTTGTTGTCGGCACTGTTGTTGTGATGGTGATGGGAGTACCGGAGCCTGTTGTTGTCATTGCTGCGTTTGGTGGTGTGCCCTTACGTCCATGGCACTGTTTAGAGCGGATCCGGGGATGTTTGTTGTTTTTTTGCTCGTCGCGCTCGACCCCAACAGGCTGGAAATAAAGCATCTGGAGCAGAGCCGGCGAAGAGAGCTGTGCTGCGCGAGCTGCGATAGAGGCGTCGCGTGGGAGGGGGATGTTTTCACGCTCCCCGGGGCAGAAGGCGTGGTAGGCGCGTACGTGAACCCGACGGGCTACGTCCACCAGGTGTTAATGTTGTTCTTCTCATCGACCGCGCTAACCGGCTGACCAATGAAAAGACGTCATGCTCAGCGGTGTGTGTGTGCATGTGTATCGCAGTGTGTTGTGCAATGCGGCGTGTGGTGAATTGGTTCACCTCCGATTACTGGGGCACGAGTATGCGGGTAACAAATGTTTTTTCGCATGGCCTGAGCGTTACACGGCCAGGCAGGGTTCGTTTGTTTGGTATTGGGAGTCGGGATTGTTCTTTGCCCTCCCGGCCGTGCGTGGCTTGCGGCGATGAATCAACGCCTTTCGATGGATGAATGCGTTCGGCGAATACCGCTGCCAGGAAGCGCGCCTTGTCTCATCTCGATTTGTTTTTCTGCACCTTTGAGCCGATCGATCTGCGACTCATGTTTCTCGCCAACCCTTTTTTCAATCAATCCCCCCTTGCATTAAAAACGAATCGCGAAAAAATGGCTGGGAAAACTCCTGCGAAGACGGTTACCGTGCGCGACGCCCGGAACCTCGTCCTGGTGGGCACCCCGGAAGAAGAGGTGAGCGGAGGCTGTTGTACGGCGATGGTATCTTTTTGTTGCTGTTATGGGTGGTGGTAGTGGTGTTTGTGTTTTTGACGTTGTGGGTATTGTTGTTGTTACTGCTGCTGTTGTCGTTGCTGCTGATACGGCCTTGACACATGGGACCGCGGTGGCGTCTACTGACTATATACCTCAGCGTTCTGCGCTGGTCTACCCGTGGACACGGGACGGAGGTATGTAGGGAAAAAACAATGCGCAGCAACGTGGCTAGATCCGGGTTGTCGAGACTTTGAGCTGGAAGTCCGTGAGCACCAAGAAAAGCGATGTGACAAAGACGGTATCGCAACACACCCGAAATCGGGGTAGATGAGCGGGCAGCTCTGTGTCTACATGCGTGGATACCGTTCGATTCACAGCGACGCTGTTTGCGTTGGGGGAAAGGTTGAGAACTCGGATGATTGCGATGTCGTTTGTTGCATCTGCTTCCCGTTCCGCGCAGTCCGTCTGTTTGGCTGGGTGTAGAGGTGGTGTCGGTGCTTTACGCGAGCGATTCAAGGACGCGCGGGAGAGTCTTGTAGTACTGCTGTACGCAGAGCATGCAATGCTTGTCAGCAACACCATCCATCGCATTACACCCCGCTCACCCACACACTCTCTTGAACCGTGAGGGCGATGTCTCGCGTGATACAGCCCCTCGCGCAACTGGGACTATTTGGCGACGCCTCCATGATGACATGTTTGTTACCTATGCAAGGTCGTGCCTCTCACACACACGCCCCCTTTGTTTACCTGCCCACGACGTTCAGAGTTTTTTTCGCCCGCCTCTCCCCACTGAGTTTGCCACAATGTTGTGATTTGCCGACACCACCCACCCACCCACACCGTCTCCATCTTGTCTGCTCCCCCCCCCCCCGCCGGGCACAGCACTCGTGGTTCCCCGGTTACGCCTGGACGTGCGTTTACTGCGCGTTTTGCAACGAACACCTTGGGTGGCGCTTCACCGCGATCAGACCGGGGAGCGGGGAACAAGAACACCGACAGCGGCAACAACGTTCCGGACTTCTTTCCTCCGGATCCCCGTCGTCGCCCCGCGCCTCGCCGCATTCTTCCTCGTCGCTGTTGCCGTTGCCTTCTCCAGTTGCCGGTGGGGCAAGCGGTAGCGGCGGTAGAGGCGCCCTGGGGTCTTCGCGGCCTGCAACAACGGCCACGGCCGGGGGGGAGGGGGTGAATGAGCCGGAGCTCGGCCCGGCGTCGTTCTTCGGGCTGCGTAGACCAGCCCTCGTTACCCCAAGATGAGTTTCGAGAGGCGACGACGAGGAAGCACAGGCCGTGTGCCACCGCCGCCGTGTGTGCTGGGAAGGCACCTTTCTCTCCGTGTGTCTTCAGTGTGTGCCTGGGATTTTGCTGCTGCTGTACGTGTTCCGTGCCCTTGTAGGGTTGTGCGCAAGTCTGTGGGTGGAACAAGGTCATTTTGTTGCCGTGCAGTTGACGCACTGGTGGCAGCAAGCCTTGTAGCTGTACCCTTGACGTTTTAGTAGAAAGCGGCCACAAGCCATGTCTTGTGAGCAGTGGCATTTAGCGTTCCACGCACTGCATATACGGCAGTAAGCCATTTTACTCATTTATGGACCCGCTGCGCGGGATTTCGCTGCGTGGGATTTCCACCGGTTCTGGAGGGGGCGAGGGGCGAAATGGGCGTGGGTAGCGCTCGTCCCCTGTTTTCCTACCATATTTTCGCGACGTGTACAGATAAGCAGGTGTGCATGCGGGCTGTCTAGACGGGTCCTTCTCGGCAGCGTAGTTCCTCTTGCGTGTAATATTCATGGGTCTGTAATACTGCTGTACGCACGCCCAGTTTCCCTGTCCGTGTTACTCGTCGGCTTGCAAGTCGGGTGGGTGAGGGGAGGGATGGAAACGCGTTGTCGACGAGAGTTTTTGATTTGTTTTGGAAAGAGCTCGATGTACGCAATAAGAGGCTCTGTCGTCCGTTTGCCATGGATCTTAACGCGTGTCCTTTTTGTTTTTGTTCGAGCGATTCTTGTGAAGGCGCCCAGCAAGTCACCGCTTTCGTTCCAGTTCCTGGGATGGCCATCAAGGCGTGAAATTCGCTCCCTGCGGGCGGGATTTCCTTTTGAATACCCGAACGACGAAGGGAGGGACACCAAAGCTGAAAGATACCTCTTGGACTTGGAAACTGCTCCGATGGATTTCTTTCGGTGGTTGAGATGCGTTCTACACCCCTCTCCCCTTTTCGTGGAATCCGGCTCGGGCGAAGTGGGAGAGGTGGCTGTCTTCCGTAATCGACAAATGTCCAAGCTCTACTTCAGAACTGGAACTAATCGAACAACTTTTTTTTTGTGTTCGTGTTTTTACTTCCCGGGAGTTTTGAAGCGAAACGGTGATACCTTGTGAGAAGCGAAACGCATCAGGTACCGTACCGCAAGGGCATTGATCGATCATAAAATGCGTCGCCCGTGCGCCACGTGTCTTTGTGTTTCATCGAGAGGGGTGTAAGCAAATAAAGCAAGGCTCTCACTAGAGAGTGATTTCGGCGCTTATAGCGCCGCACGTGGGCAGGGCATGCAGTCTGGAGAGTCCGGCATACGACTGCTTTATCAGAGCAAACACTTGATAATAAAAACGACGGTCAAGCAAGCGGAGGACAAATTCAAAATCGTAACGGCCAGCAAAATGCCGGTCGAGCCGCCGTGTACAAAAAAAGCATGATTTTCTCCAAATTCTCCGGGTGGTGTTGAGTAAACACCAGGGTTGGGGGGAGCCGAAGTAAGACACGTAGTGTGCCTCACGACGGCGTGGTAGAAGATGAGCCGAGCGCACCTTCGTTGTCTAAGAGGAGGTGAACTTGGTGACGGCCTTGGTGCCCTCCGACACGGCGTGCTTGGCGAGCTCTCCCGGGAGCATGAGGCGCACGGCGGTCTGGACCTCGCGGGAGGAGAGGGTCGCCTTCTTGTTGTAGCGGGTGAGCTTGCCGGACTCGCCGGCCACGCGCTCGAACACGTCGTTGATGAACGAGTTCATGATGGACATGCCGCGCTTGGAGATTCCGGTGTCGGGGTGGACCTGCTTGAGCACCTTGTAGATGTACGAGGAGTACGACTCGGTCCTCTTGTTGGTCCTCTTCTTGTCGCCGGCCTTCTTGGGCGCCTTGGCGGACTTCTTGGAGGGAGTCTTAGCCATGTTGCTGGTTTTGGTGTTTTGGGAGGGAGGTGAGGGGCGGTAGAGAAGATTGTGTGAGATGGCGCGGCTCCGGCGTTGTCGCGAGGCAAGGATTGTGGAACTCGTTGGAGGCGTGACTTTGGCGTTGTTCCTTTTCGATCAACGCTCTCGTTTCAGCCAATCGTTGAGCTTGCTGCTTTTCTCGTCCAATCGAAGAGCCAAACGACGCGGCGAAATTTAAAGTTTCGATTTCTTGAGTTCCCCCGCGTGCTCCAAAAACCGTTGCCCTGCTTGCTGCTTGCTTTCCCTCACACCGCTCTTCACAATCTCAATCACCCCCCTAACACCTCTTCGTCACCACCAACCCGCCATCAACCATGTCCGGAAAGGGAAAGGGAGGCCGCGGAAAGAAGATCACCTCTAGGTCGGCCAAGGCCGGACTCCAGTTCCCGGTGGGGCGCATCGGCCGCTTCATCAAGCAGGGCAAGTACTCCAGCCGCGTCGGAGGAGGCGCGCCCGTCTACATGGCGGCCGTGCTGGAGTACCTCACCGCCGAGGTGCTCGAGCTCGCCGGCAACGCCGCTCGCGATAACAAGAAGGCCCGCATCGTCCCCCGCCACATCCAGCTGGCCGTCCGCAACGACGAGGAGCTGAACCGGCTGCTCGGCGACGCCACCATCGCTTCCGGCGGTGTGCTGCCCAACATCCACGCCGTGCTCTTGCCCAAGAAGAAGTAAAGCTCGTCGTGTTTCCCCACCACCATCACTGCTTTTGTACGCGTCGGCCTGGTCAGTACGTCTTCCTACTGCTGACCCAACGTGTTACGCTCAAGAACCCAACCTGGTGTTTAATCAACACCACCCAGATGACGAAAGAAAAATCTACCGGTTTGTGTCTCTGCGTGTGCCCTCCAGTGCATGTTGCTTGTGTACGTGGATGGGTGCGTCCTTGGTGAAGGATATGTATGGATACTCCTGACGAGGCACGCATGCTTTTCGCACGCTGACTTTTGTGCTCTTCACGTTTCGACCGAAGCTGCATTTGCTTGTTTGCTCATCAATGAGTTACGCACGCGTCTACAGTACGGAGTATGCATAGCGGTGCAACGTCCGTTGGATATTTACACATTTTTTTCAAATTCGACCGTTGGGATTTTTTTTGTGGTTGCACGCCTGGTTCTTGGAACAATTTTTTTGTTCGGGTGGCTTGTGTTGACACGACTGCAGCCGAAAACTGGCACTAATCTTGCTGGAGATATTGGTGGATTCTGAGGTTTTTCTGGGAGGTGGAAAGCACCTAACACCCACACCTGCCTCTCTTTCATAAATCAAGTGATGATCGTCTGTTAGCGACACATACATGCACGGCATGCATTCATGCATACGAGACACACTCTGCTACTGGTTGTACGGGTATACCTATATATAGGCGACCGCGAGAAGGTGATATATATATGAACATCAAAGGCACTCGCCATTTACTCTGGAGTACGTGTGATGTCTAGTAATGACCTGGTGTTGTGACCAAATGATCGAATCTTTTGAAGCACCAACAGGACGTGCTACAACCGCTCGGGGGAAGCTCTACTGTACAACAGTAGGTAAGTTTGTTGTGGTATTACTGTACTACTACAGCAGTGTGGTAGTAGTTGCTTGACCGAAACACCGGTGTTCGGACAGGTTGAAATAGCGACCGAGCCAGTACAGATACGGAGTGAGAGCGCTTAGCTGGCTCAAAGCTCAAAGCTGAGAGGTTGGTTGCATTCAAAATATACGTACACACACGACGCCCGTCGCTAGTTGGCTGCTTAGTTGGCTGCGTATTACACTAAAGGAGCATGGATGGGTAGCACAAGGATCGCGATCCTCATCCGTGTCATGATGTACCATATATTTGCTTGGACGCAATCCCTCGAATGAAAATATGGCGGCCAGCTACAAGTGCCTAACAACAAGAGTAGTTGGATCCCAGACGCTGAGATGAAGCCATTGGCATGTCTCGTCACAAGCAAATCGACGTGTACCCTGATTCGTTCATATTTCGATATTTCCGACGCCTCCGTTGCTTCTTGTAGAGGAGACCTGCGCCTTGTAAGGTGCGACCTCGGGCCCCTCTTTGGTACGTTGAAGTGCCCCCAGACCCTTCATATTGTACAACAGTTCGACATGGTTGTGCACTTTTGTGTTATCCGAGCAGCGATTAATTGTCCTCAGTCCCCCGGCCCCTTTCGCTAAGTGCGAGGTACGGTAACAATTGATGAATGTTTCTAAACGACAGCAGCGTACGTAGATTAACAGTGCTTCAGCCTCCAAGGCTAAGGCACGTTCAGCCATTTTCACACCGACAAAGGACACGAAACAACCGAACGACACTGCTGTAGTACATGCATTTTGTGTTAAAAACTTGAGAGTGACGACAAATACTCGACCGAAGCGTTCTTGCATCAACCTAAACCACCCCGACACATCAGTATATCGAATAAAATTAATACGCACCGCTGTACGCGACCGCAACGAACAATCCAACAAAAGAACGAATCGACACACTTGACAATAGAACTCTTGTAGCCCAAACCTTGCACGCGCATGAAACGCAAAGCCCCGCACGCTTCCCAAAGCATCCCCCAATATTTGCGCAAAAAAGTACCTGAAACCAAGACAGCACGGGCACCTGATGAAACGGTACACACGGCCAGACGTTTCCTTCCCATGTAACGAACCTCCTACAGCAATAATTGTGCATGCGTGTGGAGACAAGTGCCGCCGTTCCATTCCATGTTTAGGTACACGAAAACCAGTACAACAGCTAAACGGGTCCGGCTGTACAGGCAGAACACCGACTACCCATGATCCCACCCATGCGGGATTTATGTTCTGTCCCTTCCCCTTCCGTGCGTGGTCGACCCACGATGGTCCCCCTCTCATGCCTCTCTAGTTGGTCAAGCATCGCGCGATCCACTCGGCGCTACCTGGCCTACTCGCACGGGACCAAACTGGCCTCCTACAAGGTGGCCGGCAAAAGTCACCCGTCCAAGGAACCCTCGACTCCATCAAAAATCAGGGCAGAGGGCATCAATCTACGTCGGCATCTACATGCAAGCGTGAATCTCACCGACGGCTGGACTAAAAGAAGGAAATAATACCAGAACCGCGTGCCTTCTCCGCAATCGAGAAGACGACCGGATCACCGTTCGAGCGCCATTTCGTCAGTGAACAGCAGCGTCCATGTGTGCGTCACCTACTCCACCCAGGCCGCACTACTAAATGTGGTTCTTCACAGAACCGCTACTTTGCCACCCTATTTCCGATATATAAAAAAACTACAGTCAAAGGGCAGCCGTATCGCTACTCGCAACGCTCCTCTCCGGATCCCGCCGGAGGAAACAAAAAAAACATGAAGTTCATTTTCATGCTATACTGCTGTACTCCCCGAATAGACTGTATCTTCCTCTCCTCCGCTGCACTACGACGCACGCCCCTCCCATTGCTTGCATTGCCGAGCGTGTCGAGAGGGAAAACACGCCGGGCTCTTCGTGAATTCTTCTCGAATCAATTCGTCGAAAATAACTCAAGACACCAAAACGCGTTCGTTTTTCGCCTACAGCACCGCAGGAGAAAAGCTGGACGGCAAACAGAGCACGATCAGCCACGATCCATCCATCAGTCTCGCGCCAACTCGTCCAGAAGACCCTGGACAGCCTTGAGGGATTTCGACGCACGGCCGCCGCCGCCGCCACAGCCGCTGCTCACGCCCCCTCCCCCCCCCCTGGCCGCGATACTCTTGGCTTCGACCGCCGCCTTGCGCGCGAGGATGTCCCGTATGCTCTCCAGGCGAGGCCGGTGCTTCACGGAGTTGCACTCGTCCTTCCGAGAAAACGTTGTAATTGAGTTTGGGAGGGGGGGGGTAAGGTTGGGAGGGGGGGGTAAGGTTGGGAAGGTGTAGAACGCAGAGGACTGAAGCCAAAAGCGTCGATGCTGGGGACGTGCGCCCTGCGACCAGAGGGTTTACAGGCTCCGGTTTCTTATTTGTGAATGAGGTGGAAGGCAATGGGGGAGCTGAGTACAACGTCTGAGCGGGAAAAAACAATTCCACCATGCACTGGAGATGAGGTATGAAAACATTACACTTCTGCCAAAGCGCACCTTGGTTGGCTTGTGAGCGTTCAGCAGCTGCTGCAGCAGCCGCACCGTCGGTAGGAACACCTCCTGCCTCTCGCGGTACATCTGGAAAAACAAGGAGAGAGTAATCGACGGCCGGGTGGAAAGGTGCACGAGTAAGTCAACTTCTAGACCCTACCTCCCCTTCTTCGGTAGACCAATAGTCGACTTGTCTTGGTCAAAAGCTAATCCGAAACCACGTATGCATGCGTACAGGTTGACAGAATGGGATATACCCCAAAATAGGGTACCTATGTCGGTGTAGGGCGCAACACCTGACGCCAGGTACACACACCCCAAAAAAACTCCTCCTAGCACCTCAGTCCTACGGCAATCCCTGAGCAATAGCCCACTACTCGAGAAGAGAACAAAACTCTCAAGTAAAGTGACAAGCTAAAGCGGACGTAGAGCACGTTATTGCGGTCAAAGAAACATCCAAAAGCAAAGTACAACCCGCGCACGTATTTTTTCTTTGGCGATGCAACAACGCGGCGATGTTGATGAGGTTCGACATACGTTGTCCCAGAGCATCTCACTACGGGGTGGAAACGATTCGATGAACAAAACACGAACAGCCGTGGGAACGAGTACAACACCAACACCGCTGGGGTGGTGAACCGTGCATCACTTCAAAAGCGGTGAGAAACGGCCGACGATAGCGCCATACCAGATTCCACAAATCATGCTCACGTCAAACGTGTGGAGAGTGGACTGAAACGCAGTAAGTAGAAGAATTTCACTGGAGACTAAGAATTCAAGGCAAGCATACACGGAAAATCCGCCGACAAACAAGACAGACAGAACGCAAAATAATACCGACACCAACCTGCAAGAGGTCGACGTAGGTCTCAGCCGCCACAGGGGGCGCTGCGAGCAAAGCGGGAAGGCCATCCCCCCTCTGGGCGATGTTCCGGAAGGTCGTGATGGCATACCTGGGGAGGCGTTGTTCCCGGGGGGAGGGGCAAGAAGACGGGGAGGGAGTTATACTCACAATCATCCCGATCGGGTTCCAACTTTGATCCTTGGCGTTTGCTCGTGTTTCTATACGTGATATCATGGTTCGCGTCAAGAGGTGTTGATGCCGAAACGCTATCAGTGTCCATATACACTCTTATTATACAATTTAACAGACAGACGTTCATAGCTTGGAATCCGAAAAAAAGAACAGTGTCAACTACTACTCTAACTCCTACTATATAATACAACAGACAGACTTTCATAGCTTGGAACAAGAAAAAATAAGAAAAGTGCCAACTACAGCTGTATTACTATTATAGTGTAGTGCAACTCACTTGAGGATCTTCTGGTGAGGGGGGCTGCGGTTCAGGCCGCGAATGAGGTCGTACAGCACCTGGGGACACCTGGACCGGGCCATCACCTCGCAGCACACCTTCGAGTACCTGGACGTGAGCTCTGCAGCGCAGCAGCACGGCACGATGCAGCGGTACGTTGGGGAGGGAAGGACTTGATAAGCTACCTGGGATGGGGGGGGGGGGGCTCATAGAACGCCAAGAACACCCCGAGATACAGCAGTGGAGGTCTCCGAATATGGCGGTGGTGGGGAAACTGAAAATAAACGTGTCTTGTAGGGGCAGCCGCCTCATTCATTCAATGTGTAAAACACTTGCTTGTACCGTCAATGCCAGTCAATTTCACCCGCCTTACATATAGGGCGATCGTCATATTCAGACGCCCTATTCGGGGACCTCCACCGTAAGCCCAAGGATAGGTTTTACATGAGGTGACAGGACTAGGTACGAGCTTCGCCCTCGAGGACAACAACAAGTTGGTCTTTTGGAACATTCGAGAGGGCCTGCACTGCTGCGAAAAAATCAAAGCTCCACACATACAGCGGTTGCGACACGACAAGATTCTCACCGAGAGCGATGCACGCTCGGATGATCGCCGTCAGGTGCGTGCAGTGCTCCAGCGCGGTGAGGGCGTCATTCACTCTGTGCATGCAGATAGATAGATAAACGGGGAGAACAGGAAACGGGCAACAACAGAACACGCAGAGGGGCGGGTGTGAGAGAGTGTCCAATGCAAACGATCGCTCCAGACAAATTCCGTTATTTCATGGCTGTCTTCCTTCTCTCTGCCGCAGTTTGTGGTATCCAGCGGCAAAAGATCGGCGCACGGGGGAGCGGCGGTGCCACAAGGTAGATCAATGTCTGCTGGTTCTGCCCCGTCGAAAATGAAGAGAAATGTAAGTACTGCCGTGCGAGCAAAAATAAGAAAAGCGCACCTGGTACCGAGGATCTGGGACGGATCGGCGAGGGCGTTGGCGTTGGCCTTCTCGATCCTCGCCCGGGCCGAGGCGATCCCGGGACCCGTCTTCTTCCGCGCTGCCATGCCGCGGGCGGCCGCCTGCATGGCAGTGGTCGTGGCGGAAGTTTTGCGGTGAAAAACAAAGCCTTCAGAGAGCCGAAAAATACATTATTTCTAAATAAACCAGAAGCAGCAGCAGCAGCAGTACTAGAACCGCAGGGTGCAAGGAGCAGTTGGGACATTTTGGCAGAAAATGATATGGCGTTTGGCCAACGACAACGTCCGAAGCATGCACTGATTCGGACTGATGCCTTTCCAGCTGGGCAGCACATAAACCCAGCCACGAACGTCGAGGTCGCGATTGCTCCAGCGATATACTCTATCATGGGACGTCGCGCGCATGACACGATCTGGCTCCGTTGCGCACCTGGATCATGGTGGCCGCCTTGGCCCTCGAGAACCGGCGACCGAGCACCAGCCAGCGAGCGGCCGCCTCCTCCCTGGCCCGCCTCCCGCGGACGAGGCTCTGCAGCATCACCACGCGCCGGCGGGTGCGGCGGTAGCGCGCGGCCTCCGCCGCCGCTCGCCACCAGGCGGCAATCCTGGTAGAGGCGTCGCGCTCCGCCTTGAGAGCGCCGCGCGCGGCCTTCCCTCGGACTGCGGCCTGCAGAGCGACAGTCCCCCGCCTGGATTGCGAGAGAAAGAGATATTCCAATGGATTTTTACGTACCGTGAGTGTCATCGTGGGTTGGAAACAGAGGCTTGAGCGGGCGCACAAAAGAAACGTACACACTCGGATTGTTGCGCGTGCGGAAAGTGGTTTGGCCATTAACCATTTGACGTCGTCGACCCCTTTGCTTGAAGGAGCGGGGGTGGGGGGGCAGTCAAAAAAGGTAGCTAAATCAAGTTTGCCCCTTGAATCAACCCGGACAACATCTCGAAGGCTGCTGAAACAGCACAGGTTACCTTGCATACAGCGAAGGGATTGTCCAACGACCGGGGCAGCAGGGGGAGGGGACAACCACCACCAGTGCGAAACATCAACGAACAAGTGTATAAGGAAACCAGAAAAAAACGCCGCCTAGGAAAAACTAAACAAAACCATTTCCCATATTCGAGCGTGGCGTTCAATATTGCCGCGTTGACCACGCACTTCGTCATGGTACCGCCGTCGCCAATTATCCGCCGCTACAGGCGTCCACGTACCTTGCCTGGCGGTACTCCGCCCTAGCTGACGCCATCCTCCACCAAGCCTGCACGGCAACCGCCGCCGTCGCGACCTCCCGCTCCCGCCGCCGCCGCCGCAGTAGCCTCCCCCGCCACGCCTGCTGCACCACGACGGCCGCCGCCTCCGCCCGCCTCAGCTGAGCCCGCTCCAGTGTCCCCCGAGCGAACGCCTGCAGCGTCCTCGCCGCGCTCTCCTCACGCGCCGCCCGTATCTCCGCCGCAACCGCCGCGGCCGCGGCCGCCGCCGCCGTTTCTGCGGCGAGCCGGGACCTGGCGGCCGCTCCCCGCCAGCGAGCCTGTACCGCCGCCGCCGCCGCGCGAGTCCTACGGAACCGGGTCGTGGCGAGGGCGCCCCGCCCGAACGCCTGCAAGCGAACGGCGGCCGCGAAGCGGCCGGCGGCGCGCGAGCGGGCCGAGGCGCCCCGCCAGCAGGCCTGGATGGCGACCGCCGCAGAGGCCTCTCGGCGCAGGGCCGCCCGGGCGAGGTGGCCCCGGGAGCACGCCTGGAGAAGGGTGGCAGACGATTGCTCGAGGGCTTGCTGTCGGCGTGCCTCCCCGAGGACTGACCTCCACCACCTGTTCGATTGTTGCGGCGAACATTAGACAGACGGAGAGGTCAGCGGGAAGGACGATCGTCGTTTGAGAGGGAGGGGGATCAATTTCAGGCGAGAGAGAGAAAGAGAGAGAGAGAGAGAGATCGGGAAGAGCTGCTGTGGCTCCTGTGGAGCAGGAGAAGGGTCACCAAATTACATTTCCCGCCTATGCCGTCATGTGGAATCAGGTCTGGACATTGAGGGCAGGGCACACCATCACCGCCATAGATGACAACTTCGCGATGGTTTGCAAGCTTCGCTTCGATAGGGTTTTCATGTTTACAGGAGAAAACAAGTTCCTCACCGTTGCACAGCGGCCGCCGCCACAGTCCTGCGCGACAGCATCGCCCTGGCCGCCGCTCCTCGCCACACCCTCTGGATCACCGCCGACGCGAGCATCGCGCGACGCTGCTCCCTCCTCCTCGCGACGCGGGCACACGCCGCCGCGGCCCTCGCCGCCGACTGTATCCTGGTCACCGCGACGGCGCGACGGGCCTGGTCTCGCCGCGCCCGCTGCCCCCTGGCGCGCGCCTGCACCACGGTAGCCGCAGCAATGGCCGCTCGAAAGGCGCGGCGAGCCACGGATCCGCGAACGGCGGCCTGCATCCTGACGGCGGCTGCCCGCTCCGCCTCCGCTCGCCGCCGCCGTGCCGCCACACGGCGACGGCGCCACACCTGGATAGCGCTTGCAGCAGCTGCCTCCGCCTCCTGGGCCCTGGCAAGGAGAACCGCGGCCTCGATCTCTTGCCGCTCCCGCGCAAGGCGCGCCCGGCTCTGAGCCCCGCGCACGAGCGCCTGAAACCTGGCGGTTCCGTCGACCGCCCTCCGGTAGGCCGCCCTGACCACCGCGCCGCGCCACGCCGCCTGCAGCCTGACGGCGGAGCGCTTCTGGCGGCGGGCGAGGGACCGCGCCGTCACCATGCGCCACCAGGCCTCGATCTGCGTGGCCCGGCCGGCTTGTCGGGCGAGCTCTCGGCGAGCTGAGGCGCCTCGCATGGCGCTCTGGACCGTGACGGCGGCGTCGCGGTCTCTGCGGTAAGCGGTCGCCGCGGCCGCGCCGCGCCGGCGGGATTGGATGACTACGGCGGCGCCCACGAGCTTCCGGTAACATGTTTGCGCCACCGCGCGCCGCCGGCGAGCCTGGACGACCACAGCCGCCGCCACGGTCCTGCGGTAGTGAGACCTCTCCAGTGCAGCTCTCCAAAGCGCCTGGATTCTCACCACAGCCTTGGCGTCCTTGCGGTAGCGAGCAACAGCGGCCGCGCGCCTGAAACCGGACTGAACAACCACGATAGCCGCGAGAGTCTTGCGGTAACGAGCCGCTTCCGCCGCTCCCCGCGCATGAGCTTGGACGACCACAGCGGCCTCCTTGGTCCTGCGGTAGCGAGACTTCTCCAGTGCAGCTCTCCAACATGCCTGGATTCTCACCAAAGCGCTAACGTCCTTGCGGTAGCGAGCAACAGCAGCCGCACGACGTAAACCAGACTGAATGACGACCACAGCGGCGACAGTCCTGCGGTAACGAGCCGCTTCCGCTGCACCCCTCAGGTATGCTTGGACGACCACAGCGGCCTCCTTGGTCCTGCGGTACCGAGACCTCTCCAGTGCAGCTCTCCAACATGCCTGGATTCTCACCACAGCGCTAACGTCCTTGCGGTAGCGAGCAACAGCAGCCGCACGCCGTAAACCAGACTGAATGACGACCACAGCGGCGAGAGACCTGCGGTAAGAAGCCGCTTGCGCCGCTCCCCGCACGTAAGCTTGGACGACCACAGCGGCCTCCTTGGTCCTGCGGTAGCGAGACTTCTCCAGCGCAGCTCGCCAATTCGCCTGGATCCTCACCACATCGCTGACATCCTTGCGGTAGCGAGCTACCGCCAAAGCACCGCGCCAGTGGGACTGGATCATCTTCGCGGCGTCGACGGTCCTGCGGTAGCGAGCGGCCGCCACGACGGCTCGCGCGCGCGCTTGGGCGACGACAGCAGCCCTCACGAGCTTGCGGAAGCTCCTAGCCGCCGACGCCCCCCGCCACCAGGCCTGCACAACGACAGCGGCGCGCTTGGCCTCCTGGAAACCCCTCTCCTGTCTCCTAGCCCGGGCCCAAGCCTGCAGGCGAACCGAGGCCCTCTGGCGCGCGGCCAGCTCTCCCCTGACGACGGTCGCGCGAGACCAAGCCTGCACGCGCACGGCGGCCGCGCGCTTGCCGCGGAATAGGGAGGCTTCCCTCCGGCCTCGAGCGATCGCCTGGACGCGGACCGCGGCCCGGCGCCTCGCGTCCATCCGCGCCCTCTCCACCACGCCTCGCCGCCACGCCTGCAGCACCACCGCAGCCCGGAGGCGGCGCCGGTACCTACCGGCCTCCAGCGCGCCCCTCGCCCACGCCTGGACGCGCACGACGGCATCGCGGCGCTCGGACACGGCGCGCCTCGCGACCGAACCCCTTGCCCAGCCCTGCACGACGCACGCCGCCGCCACGGCCCGCCTGTACCTCCGCCGCTCCAACGCGGCGCGTCCCCAGCGCTGCAGGACAGCAACGGCGATCCCCCGCCGGGTCGCCTGTTTCCTGGCCGCTGCGCCTCTTGCCCTGGCCTGGAGTAGCGTCGCCGCTGTTTCTTGCCGGTGACGACGGCCTCGCGCAAGAACACCCCGGCAGAGCGCCTGCAGGCGCACCGCCGCGGTGTGCTTCGCCGCCGCTCGTTTCGCCGCCCGTTCTCTTGTCAGTCTCGCCCGCGCCGCGGTGCCCCTCTGCGCCGCCTGGACGGCGATGACCGCGGCCCTCTTCTTGCGGTAGAGGCTCGCCTCTGCCCTGCCGCGCGCGACGGCCTGGATGCGGACAGCGGCCTGCCTAGCGGCAGACAATTGGCGCCTCGCGGAAAGCATCCGGCGCCAGGCTTGGACCGTGGTCGCGGCGCTGTTTTCTGCGGCGGCTTGGAGCTGCGTCCATTCGTCGTTACGAGGGGGGTATGCAAGAAGGCACGGAAGGTTACGAACGAGGTTAAAGCGGTGAATTTCATCGAGTACAGGTCGCCATTACGGTAGTGGAATCATTCGGCAGTCACAGCAATACGTAGCACGATCGCGCCCGGCCGCAGCCTTCCGAAGCACGCCGCAAAAATATTGGATCTAAACCACCTCTTACCGTCTCAAGGCAGGGGTCATCTCCGACTGCCAATCAAAAGTGAGGACGTCACTTGCTGTTCAGGGCAGCCACTCAACGTCAGTGAACGTTTCGCTCAAATACTACCCTTCCGTTCACACAAACCTGCATTTGACGGACTTCACGAGCAGCGTCCGCCCTCCGCCTTCCAGCCAACCCCCTTGCCCAGGACTGCAAGAGCACCGCTGCGGACACCTGGTGTCGTCCCAACGGGGCAACAAGACACAAAGGCCGAAACGGTTCGTAAGTGGGCCCCCGAAGGGAAATTTTTCACGTGCTGTGCGGTGCGGCGGAGAAAGGAAAACGCAGCATGTGCCATCGTGTGGCAGTCGATCGGCAGGATTGATCAGGTAATGAAGCAAAATCCACGGGGCATTGCAATGCTGGGCAGCATCGTAGTACTAGCGCTGCTGTACGCCCGCCTTCAACAACACGGAGGCACGTTCGCCATTGCCGCCATCATGGCCAGTAACTTGTCCAGCTTGTACGCGAGAAGCGGAGGCGGACAGCAGGCCAACAAGGCACACGCCCAGGCCATGTCTAGCCCAATTTCGCAACGTTCCGTGGTTGCATGCTATGCCTCTTCAGAATCGGCCGTGGTGCAACCAAGACTTGCAAGACAACGACACCCACGGAGACGTGCAGTGCCATTTCCAACACTGAATGAAAACAAACACCGCCTTCTTCACCTGCCGGATCAAGGCCAGGTACCGCGTCCTCTGCAAGCGTCCCCTGGTCCACATCTGGAGGACGGCTGAGGCGTCTCTGGCGCGAAGGAAGGCTTTGCGCTCGAACCGGCCACGAACCGCGGCTTGGATGGAACCCGCCGCCTGCCAGAGAGGAACGCGGGACATGGGGTTCGGGCGTGTGTGGGTGAGGAACACAAGAAGAGATCGAGCAAGCTCGTCGGGCGACACGGTACTGCCGAACACGACACAGCGACAAGCCCAAAGCCATCGGCAGTGTTGCCATCGAAACAACACAACTGTCCGGAGAGCGCCGACTGCCAAAAACCATGCCCTAGGGCATACGGCCTGACCTCCTCCTTCTTCACTTTAACCAGTGCTGTACAACACTAGTACCGCTACCCTCGAAAGAATCTACCCTCGAAAGAAGAAATTTCGGAACATAATCGGAAACCAATATAACCCGTCCTCGTAGCTCTCAGAACCCTTTCTAGTACCTCGATGATGCGCTTCTCCAACTCGCGCTCGGCCTGCTCCGCCAGCTCCTCCCGCCGCGAGCTCGCCGCCCTCCGCGCCGCCTTCCCTCTCCACGCCGCCTGGACCGCCGTCGCCGCCGCCGACCGCCCCAGCCTCCTCAGCCTCCCCTCGGCGCCCGCCGCCCACCACCCCTGAATGGTCACCGCGGCCAGGTGGACCCGCTGCTTCTCGCTCACGTACATGGTTTGCTCTGGCAGCACCCTCTCCGCCGCCGCCGCCGCCGCCGCCGCCGCCGGTCCCCGCCGCGTCGCCGGGGGCGTGAACGGCACCGCGCCGTCTCCTGCCCGCGCTAAAGCGGCAGCCGCGGCCGCCCTCTCCGCCGCAGCCTTCGACCTCGCCCTGGCCTTGGCGGCGCGGGCGCGCTCGACCAGGTCCCCGCGCCCCGTCCGCTCGAGGAAGGAGCGGTAGACTCGCTGCACCAGGATGGTGGAACGGATCTCGGCGCTGGATTCGAGGAGCCGGGCGCAGAGGTGGGCCACCACCGTGATGATCGTCTGCGTTCAAGCGGGGGGGGGGCGGGGGCGGGGGGGCGTACTCATGTATTACATGCCTTGGTTGTTAGACCGCTGACCGCGCATCCTCGAGAGGACGGAGTATTGTTCCCGCAGGACCGAGCACCGATGGCCAATCGCTATTATAGTTCCTACCTTACCACGGGCGATAACAAAATGTTTTCCCTGCCAGTTTCATACGAACCCTGTCGATGTTACTTCCCGCCTTTTCTTTCAAGGGCGGGGTTGTGGTCACTTAGCCCGTCATGGTGACTTCTGTCAAACGATATGTGTAATTTTAATCAGCCCCAAGACATTATCGGTGCCTCCATCTCCCCGACAACGTTCGCCGAGACGGTGCGCCAGATAGCGTCGTTATTTACCGCAGTCTAGACCTGCCCGCACTCAAGACAAAAGCGCAGCGCACACGAAGCAAGCCCAAAGCATAAGCGCCAATAGGCTCGCTCGATGAGCAATCTGTCCGGGTCCTGTTCCTCTTCACCTTTTCTTCCGGCCGGTTGGTGCTGTCGAATGGTGCCAGCATGGACGGCACGCCGCCCAGCTCCGCTACGCAGTGCCTAGCCAGGGCGACGTTCGCCCGCTCGCCGTCCAACGCCGCTTTGCATTCCGCCTCCGTTATCTGTCCCGCAATACAAAATCGAAAAAAAGAAGTAACACGTGCGTGACGGGTCAAGCACAAGGTCAGCTTGGGGGCAGTGAAGATGGAGACGTTTGGGAACTGAATAACGAGCACTCCCCGCTTGGGGGCTTTTATACATGTGCGAGTTGCTTGATCCCATGATGTAAATAAAAACTCCGCGCAACACAAACGAAGCATGCCCCCAGAAATAATTTCCTTCGGTACCCCCCACATAAGGTGACACATGGCCATTCTTGTGCTTCCCCCGGGGGACAAATTTTACGCAACCTGCCTCTTCTCCAATGCGAACGGTTCCAAGCCGATAAGACTCGTGAAGAACGACATCTACGCTTCACCTCGGTCTAACTCGGCCGTACCGCCGCAGCACGACATCTTCTACTGTGAAAATAAAACATCGCGGTGATACCGCAGCAGTGCAACGTCCACTGTTGTGAAAAAAAACGAACTGACGCATCGAACTGCTGCATCTCCAAGGCTGCTTGCTGGTCTGGTATCGTGGACCAACCTTGGAAGCGTCGAGAGAGGCTGACCAGTCCTCCAGCTCCCCGCGACCGCCGCCAATCCTCGGGAGGTGGGCCGTCGTCCGCCGAATGGCGTTGAGGGGGATAATCTGACAACAAAATGACGCAAGATCAGAGCAAGCAGCTATCACGACGAGAAAAAAAAAAGGTGCAAAAAATCAAGAAAACATCATGACGCCAAGCACGTTTCAACACACAGGTGCATACACAGGCAACGAAAGTTAAAGTTTGACAGGGAGGATGCGGACGAAGCTCGCAGCCGCGATACTGACAGATACAAGCCGATCCTATCTGCGGGATATCGTCGCCTAGTCACAAACAAACTCGTCCCGAGAAGACACAAGAATAGCACAAAACTTTGCGACACGTTGTACTAATTCGGAGACAGTGGTTGAAGCCAGGGAAGAGAGCCGACAAAGCGCTGGTACACCAGAGCACGACCGCAGCGTTCGAAGGAAGCCGACAAGGCTACACGGAACACGACCACGCCTCTCCGCCGTAACAGCAAAACACACTCCCGCTCACCCTCGGGTGGTAGTAGTGCAGCAGCAGGCACAGGGCCCGGCCGTCCGCGAACGAGGTCGTGAAGTTCCGCACCGGCACCCCATACCCGTGACACACGGCTTGGCACCACACCAACAGCGCCGACAGCAGCTCCTCGTCGCCGCCGCCACCGCCGTCACGACGTCCCCCATCCCCGTTGCCGCCGCCCGCCTTCTCCTCCCAGCCCTCGACCATGGCGGCCACATCCGGCAGCTCAAGGGGGGGGTGCTCCTCCCCGGCAACCGCGCGCCCCCCGGCCGGAGGCGCCACGGGAGACGCCGGAGATCCAGGGGACATCACCCCGAAATCTACGACGGTAGCCTCTCCAACCCCAGCAGCAGCAGCAGCCCCGGCGGCGGCGGCGGCAGCGGCGGCGGCACCGATGGCACCCATCTTCCTCATGGCGCGCTCGGGTCGAGCCGGAGAGAAGCCCGCGCGGCGCCACTTCCTAGCGGCGGAGACCACGCCCTCCGCCTCCCGGGCCAGGGCGTCGCGGTCGAGGAGGGCGGAGAGCGAGTAGCGGGTGATGATGAACCAGAGGAGGCGCAGGGTGGCGTGCCGGTCGCCGTCCACGATTTCCTTCGGGGTCACCGCGCCGCCGCCACCGCCGCCGCTGCCGCTGCTGTTGCTACCCAACGTGATCGGGCCGGCGTCGGCCTCCAACCGTTCCAACGCCCTCTTGGTGTTGAAAATTTTCTGCGGGTAGGTACATGGCGGGGGGGGGGGGGGGGGATGTGTCACGAAATCTGATACTGGGGTGGGGATGGGGGTACCTTTGCGATAGGAACCTGAACAAAGTAAAGGGCCCCGGCGTCGTGGGCGGCGTACGCCATTCATCGAGACCCCAAGCATGTGAAAATTACCCGGAGTTACTCGAGAGTGAGAGGATCACTTTGGATGTTAACTCCAGCGTGAGACGAGCGCTGGCTCGGACGAATAATCACAACATCAGCCCCAGCCCAAGCCATGGAAATAACAATCACCTTCGTGGTAGTCTTAATGCTAAACACACACCGATGACCAATCAACAAAATTACCGGCAAAATCCTGTCCAATTAACTCACACTTCACCCAAAACTTGCACGCAAACACCGACCCCTATCAAGGGGCCCTAGCTGGATCTGGATAAACCTACCGTACATTGGTGAGCGAAACAAACCATGATTCCCCCCGTTTATACATCAAGGCCGGGGAAGAAAGCACGGAAGGAAAACTCACCTGAAGCCTCGACACGGCGGGGACGCGAAGACCGATGGCCAGACCCCACTCTCCCGTCACCACCTCCATGAGGCGGGTCAGCCGCACTCCGTCCCGCAGGTCGACGGCCAGGTTGCTAACGCGGAAATCGAACTCGTCTGCCCCGGGACAGCACGTTCAAACGCCAACACACCACCACCACCACCGCAGGAGACAGGGGATTATCATCAAACATGCTCACGTATGGGTCACTGGCTTGAAGTGGAACATGTATGTTTCTCAAATATACGAATCATACAATATTCACAAGTGCTGGTTTATCGAACTACATACTGTACTGCTGTGTACTACCAAGAACGAACTTCGCACACCATCGTCTGTTCCCCGCGAGCCGCACCACCTCGTAACTCGCGGAGCCCCTCACCTATGTACGACTGCACGTGCCCAACGACGTATCCCATCTTCTTGAGGTGCCGCACGAAGTCTCCCTCTCCGTGCAGGAACTGGCAGAACACCTTCAGCATGCCCACGCTAGACTTCACCTGACGAAACGACAACGAGATGCGGAGGCCCCGGCGCACATTAGCACTGGTGGTGAGGGTTACATTCTCGAGGTGACATCAAAGCCGCCTACAATAGCAAACAAGGACATGTGGGATGGACTGGGTAGGAATGCATGAGTTAATTTGGTGGCCTGCCTGGCCAATCAAAAATAGGGCACATACCCTTTCGAGAAAAGCAACTTCCGACATACCTCGGCGGTCTTGCGGAAGAGACAAGGGCACGGATGCAGGAGATTCTCGGCCTGAAAAAAAAACCGCCATGGACGGGTTTCACAGGGACGGCGCGACGGCAGGAGGGGAAAAGGCATCAGGTAGATGGCACCGTAACACAAGGAGAGTAATTGCCGAACAAACAAACCGCTCACCGATTCCCGTCCTTGACACCCACGTGAAGACCGAGGGTCCAACAAACACGAGTAGAAGGTGTGAAGCCTCGGTAGGCACGTGCGTTTGTCTTCATTTGTTACCGTTTGCGTCTTTAGTCCGGAGAGTGTCCTAGCTTCCCCCTCGACCCCCCCCCTCACGGGATCCCAGATCACGGCCTCGTCTTCTGTATTTTTCGCCGCAATGAGACTGACGTATCTTCATTGGCCAGCTGGTTAATGCTGTCGATGCCATCAACAGCAACAAAACAAAAAAACATCCATACCTTAGCCCGGTCGAGGAAGAGCACCAGATCCAGGAAGTGCGTCAGCGCGTGCCGGCCTAGCTCGTCGTTGTACTCCACCTCGGACGCGCCGCTCGCCACGCGACCCCGGAACCCATACCTTGCCTTCATCTCCGGGCACTTGACCAAGCGCTGCTCGTGCAGGCACAACGCGCATCACGGCCGGTGGGCGACACAGAAGCGACGCCACAACAAGAGCACCGCGAAAACGCGTCGCGCGGAAGACGGGTGGGCTGAGCTGGGCACAAGAGGAAATAGTTGCAGTTACATAGCGCTGAAGAGTTAGTTCGTCATCGATTCAAGTACTGCGAGATCCACCAACGCCATATGCATACACATACGAGAGGGAGGGCCGGGTCAGAGACGGAGAGAAAAGGGCAGGGGGACTATTATGAAAAAAAAAAGAAAAAAATTACACGCACACACACACCTCGGCAACGAACGTCCTGAGGGCGCGGTCCACCCTCCCGCCGGCCTTCGTCCTCGCCGCCGCCGGCACCCCCCCAGCCGGCATCGGCACGATCTCCCCGAACACCGTCTCCAGGCCGAGCAGCAGCCAGCGCGGCTCGTAGCACAGCACCAGGTCGATCAGGGCCCCGCTGAGCCCCACGTCCGCGTGGAGGACGCGGTCCCTCCGGAGCGAGATCGTGCCGTCGTAGGCCCTGTCCGCGACGGCTTCCGTTGCAGTGCGGACCTCCACGGAGCGGAACAGGCGCATGGCCCTCATGCGCTGCCTCGCTTCGTGCCGCTATTTTTGTGTTGTGTGCGTGTTGTTTTTTTTTGTTGTGGTTCCGTGGTTGTGAATTCGAGGGTTGAGGATGCATGTTTATATTTTGTGTTTGCATATGGGCCAATGTCGGTTAGGGTTTTACATCGTGCCCGTGGTATGTATGCCAGCACCGCAGAAAGAGCAGAGAGACAAACACAGAGGGGGGGGGGGGGGGTCACAGCAGCAGGGGCAGCAGGAGGGGACGCACGAGGGAACGGTGAATGGGCCATCGAATGAGACGGGAAGGTCGCCACACAACTATCTGAATTACGTCACCCTGCAATTCTGTGTGGGGTTGCACGAGAGCACGTTCATTCTTCACCACCAATACCGACGACGAAAGCATGTACAGAGACCAACTTTTTCGCTAAACCGAAGGACGAGAGTTTGAGAGACTCAAGGCCGAAAGGTAAGACAAGGGGGATCCACGAAAGCTAGACCTTGATAGTGTCCAGCTTAGCGATCCACTTCCACAACCCCCCCCCCCCGCCCAAAGCCCCTCAATCCTCCCTGGCTTAGCGATCTACTTCCACTAACACTCCCCGTCCAAAGGCCCATCTCGTCATTTCTCACCATGGCAACCATGGCCTTAAGCGGGCTTGACGAAACCCCCCCAATCTCCGCCGTAAGACCCCCGTCTTCCTCTTCCCCGTCATCGCCGGCCCCGTGCCTGAGCTGCTCCGCTCCGACGAGCGTAAAGTTGAGCCAGTTCGTAAACCCTGCAGTCTGTTTCTCGGCCCAGCCCTTGTCGCTCAGGGACTTGCGCAGCAACGTCGCTTTCGAGCCCCCGCCGCTGCTTTCCTCTCCGGCGCTGCCGCCGCCATCCGACTGTGCCGAGGCGACCGGACGACCATTGAAGACGGCGATAATGTTTTCGGCGGCGAGAGGATCAACGTCATAGGTGCATGAGTTGCATTAATAGTAGACCTAGTCATGGTTTCTTGGGCCGAAGGGAGACTGGTCTTTAACAGGGATAATTGACTTACACGAGCAGTGCTTTGCGGAATTGGTAAAAGCGGATAGCTGACATGTATTGTCAAGAACCAAAATGGAAAAAGATGAAATCGCTTCCAGATGTGTCGCGCAATAAAGAGCCAATATTATGAGGGGACGAGATCAGCTCTCACTTTTCAATTTGGCACCCTGCTTCTACAGGAAAACAGAAAGAAAACAGGGACCTCTGGTTGAGACACCACCCACCCACCCGGATGTTTTCGGTTTAGTTATTCTCCGAACGTCGGAACAGGTTTATGGAAAATGAGGGCTCCCTTATTGTGAAGGACACACCGCTACCTTCATTTTCCCTTCCTATTCACGACGCAGTGGACACACCAACCATTGCGGGAGGTGATGCCACTGTTTGATCCCATACTCTCTGAGGAGAAGAACTGACTCGAAAATACTGGTGGATTTGTTGTCCGAAACACAAAAAACGCCGGTAGACAACAGCAGAAAGTCTGATGATGAAGCGCCCTCCGAAAACGCAAGATGCCAGCGGTCCGACAACACAGAGAGCATGCACGGCTATTACCACCCGTTTCGTCTCCTGTGTCACTGTCACTGCCTGTGTTCGTGCCATTCGCCGAGCCCCCCGAAACCACACACCATCCGTGATCCGTCCTGTGGGAACAATGCCCCGTCCTCTCGAGTACACGTGGTCAGTGGTTCAACAACTAAGACATTCAAACCATGACTACCTCCCCCCCCCCCCCCACCCCCCCCCAAACACACTCCCCCCAACCGAAAAACCCCCACCCCACCCCCTCCCCCAAAAAAAAATAAAAAAACCCGCCCACAAACCCCCCCCAAACCAACCCCTCCCTCACCTTTTCACCCTTGTGGGCCCGGTTGGGAAAAAACCCCCCCCAATTGGAATACTTTAACATCTGCTGCCCCTTGTTTTTGGCCCTGCCAAGGCACAAAACCGCCGCGAAAAAATTCGGCGAAAGGCCCCACACCCAACCCCCCCGGGGCAACCCGGTGGAACTGAAGCTCAAGGGGGTTTCCTTTGCCTTAATTTTAAGGTTTTTTGGGATTCATTCCACCCCAACCAACCCCCCAACAAGTGGAAAATGGTTAAACTTCAACTTGGGGGGTGCCCCGGGGGGGGGGGGGGAAAAAAAACCCCTTCTTTTTATTTTTTCCCCTTCAAAGGTTATTTCCCAAACCGGGGGGGGACGGGGAAAACCAGGGATTTCCCATAAACCCCCGAAAAACCAAAAATTTCCCCCTTTTTTTGGTTACCACCCCCTTAAAGGGACAT